TTTTGCTTCTTGAATCTGTGGTTTGACTTTTTTTTTTCAGTTGAAGAATATTCTTAGCCCATTATCTCTCTGAATAGTAGTTCCCTCATTCTCTCTATCCTTGTCTTCTGGGACTCCAATTATACATATGTTAGACTTTCTTGATGTATTCTCTGTCTCTCTTATCCTGTGTTCTGATTTTTTTCTATCCCTTTGTCTCTATGTGCTTCATTTTGGATATTTATTTCGGAATTTACCTACAGTTCACTAATTCATATTTCAGCTTTGTCTAATCTCTATTAAACCCATCCATTGAATTATTAATTTTGGTGAATGTATTTTTCACTTAGAATTTCCATTTGATACTTCTTTATAGTTTCCAATTTTCTGCTGAAATTCTCAGTCTTTTCTTTTATCTCTTTCAACTCAGTAAGAATGATTATTTTAAAGATACTGTCCCATAACCGAGATATATGGAAGCCCTATGGGTCTATTTCTATTCTGCAGTTTCTCTTATTTTTTAACCTCCCTATATTCTGGTCATTTTTTCTCATGTGCCAGACATTGTATCTGCAAAATTGTTTGCAGAAATAACGTGAGGCCTAGAATAATGTTACTTTTATCAGGAAAGATTAGTATTTACTTCTGCAGTTTCCTAATCTATAAAATGGGGATAATGATAGTACCTACTTCATTAGCTGTTGTGAGGATTAAAGGAGTTAATACACATAAAGTGCCTAAGCAAAAATCAATGTTTTCTAGTTTATGAAGACAGACGTCCGCAGGTGCTACTTTCTATTGGACATTTTAGTAAGTGATTTAAGGCAGAATTGATACATTCATTTAGCAAATACTCATCATGAGCATTTTATGCTGCAGGCACTGTGTTGGGTGCTGGGTATAGAAATATGCCTAATAATTGTTGGGAGATGAAATCCACCATGGTTACAGACTGGCAGAATAGTAGTTGAGTCCTTGACCATTTCTATCAATTCTACGCCTCCTGAATATTAATTATTAATGCAGGATCACCAGTAGTGAAGATTAGAAGCCTGTCTACCTGCATCTACTTTAACAGCATGTCTCTGGGCTATATATATATATTTACAAAAAACTGATGGCAACAATATTCTTAAATGGCTTTAGAACAACGAATTAAAGTTGAGGAGATTTAAAGAAAATTTGTTTCTGTGTATTTTGAAAAGAAACTTTAAAGAATGGAGAAGAGCAGCAGAAGGATAAGAAATAAAAAACAAAAAGAGCAATCAATTTAGCTCTTAGCCCAAAGGAAAGGATGGAACTTCATACCTTACTGCAAAGACTTTGGAATAACTATGCATGTTAAAAGTGGGTAATAATAATAAATATTACTATTAAATTATTATGCACAGTGGCTAGAGCCACAGATCAAAGAACAATCTTCAGATGCATGTAGTTTGGAAAGGCCTTTTGTATAACTCTCTGCATTTATACTTACAGAGACAGAGTAGTCACGTTAGAAATAATCCTAGAAATAAATATTGATCTTAGCAAGCAAAATTACTGTGAAATTTAACTGCTGAACATAAGATAATATTTTCTATCCAAAAATCAAATCCACTTTTTTGTCCAAATTTAGTGGACAATTCCCCAGATTTTGACTGGGGATGCGAAAAATCCATTTCTAAGTTGTTTTTTTTTTGAGGAAGATTAGCCCTGAGCTAACTACTGCCAGTCCTCCTCTTTTTGCTGAGGAAGCCTGGCCCTGAGCTAACATCGTGCCCATCTTCCTCTACTTTATACGTGGGATGCCTACCACAGCTTGGCGTGCCAAGCGGTGCCATGTCTGCACCCAGGATCCGAACCGGCGAACTCCAGGCGGCTGAGAAGTGGAACGAGCGCACTTAACCGCTGCGCCACTGGGCCGGCCCTCTAAGTTGTTTGATTAGAACTTAGAACACATTTTTTTCCCTACAAAATCAATGTTATCAATATGGATAAGTTCCCATTTCTCTCCCTCTAGGGCATTTAACAAACATGGTTATTGCTTTTATATTATACATTACGTATCAGGAATTAAGTGCTTTACATCGAGAACTGCAACCATCTGCATCAATATGACAGAGCTATGGGGTCTAAGAACTGAGACAACCTGTGTCAACATGATTTATTTGTTTGTTACAAGAAAACTTTGCCCAGGAAAGATAAGACTGTAAACCAATAAATAACTTCATTGTTTGTTTCAGGAAATTCCCATATATTAATTTATGTCAGACAAACGATCTGCTCACCTTGTCAAAGAGTTTACTTATCAAGCAACAGTTTACTTAGCAAGACTTGCTTCAAGACCCTTGCCTTGTTATAGATACTAATCTAAACGATTGTGTCATGAACCTTTCCAAATCCCAATCTATTCTCCACCTTAAAAGAGCCACCTTAAACCACTTGAGACTAGACTCCCAAATCCTATAAATAGCCTCTCCTGACTTCTTCCTGAAGAGACTGTCAGGACTCTGAAGGCAGAGTCCTCTCTTATCGCAGAGAATTCAAATAAACTTAGTTTGGCTTTAGTAGGAGGTTGTCCAAAGATACTTTGGAAGAGTTAAACATATTTATTTCTTTAATCCTCTTAGCAACCTTATGAGTAAATTCTATCCTCATGTTCTTTTTACAGACGAGAAAACTGAGGCACACTGAATAGTTACGTGACTCACCCAAGGACACAAAACAACTTAACTCACATAAATCTAGACTATGGTACTAATATTACTGAGTCTTTCTTCCCCCTAAGTCCATTGATTTGAAGACACCCTGAAGAATCCTAGGCCCTGACCCTCTCAGGCCCATACCGTAATTACAGTACTAATTACCATAATTAGTAATTTTGTTTGCTTTCCTCATTGGACTGTGAGCTCTTTCAGGATGAGACATATCTTGTTTGTCTCCATACTGCCAGTACCTAGCACAGCCTCTGACACATGGTAGGTATTCAATAAATATTTATAAAATAAATATTAAATGAAACCCCACTTCATAAATGAAGCTTTGAGATATCAAGAAACTTGCTTCAGCTTACTTAGGAAGTAACTGTCAGATTTGGTGCTCCCACCAATGCACTACAGTCTTTAGCTCAACTGTAAATGAGTTCTCAAAGAGTAGTTTTTATGAGAATCTACAGACAATGCAATGGGGATTCATGTGTATAAAGCTCCAGTATTAACAAAATATAATATTTCTTTGCTTTTTGCTGAAATATTATCATCTCAGTGTGATCATACAGGTCATCTCATGTTGATTAGATGCTTGAATCACACATTTGTCTCTGATTAATAAAAGTGGAAAACATTAATTGATAAATGCAATTTCTGACAATGTTTTAAAACCAAGGGATGTGACTATAAAGTTTCCTTGGTATTGAAATGGTTGTAATTCACTTCCCATACTAAACAGAGCTTTACACATATAAAGTTATTTTTTTCTTTATTATAAAGAGAAATGAATGTTACACAAATATTTTGGCATCAAGAAAAATGTTTAAAATTTTACATAGAAGGTGAAATTATGAAAGGAAAGAAAGTAGGCTGGAAAGATTTTTCTGTTCCTTCTGAGATAGCTACTCATATAGCCAACGATATAAGGAAATGAAATAAAATGACCTACAGAGAGACATCACAAAATGCAAACCTGTGAACCCTGTTTTGATTCTGAATTGAACAAACTGATACGTAAGACTTTTTGAGCAAATCATGGAAACGTGAATGAGGACAAGTAATAGATGTTATTATGGAAAAAATTCTTAATTTAGAAATATATACTAAAGTATTCATGTGAGATAACAAACTGCCTGAGATTTGCTTTAAAATTCTCCAGGGTCAGGGGTGTGGATGACGAGCATGCATGTGTGCATGCTCATGTGTGTACGGATGAAACAAGACTGGTAAAATGTGGATAACTGTTGAAGTTTGTGATGAGTATATGGGGATTCATTACAGGCTACTCTCCACTTCTGAATGTTTAAAATTTTCCAGAATAAAAAGCTTAAAAATTGGCTAATTTCCCCAGTACTGTACTAGCTATACAAAGGACCTGATCATTCACATATATATTGGCTGCAAACTCAATATTAGTATCACAACCCAATGCAAAAAGTTATTCTTCTCATCTGTGGATGACTCCAAAATTTAAGAAAACAGTTACTTTTTCTGCTTGGGAGAATTAATGTTACAGTCTCTAGCTGAGCATCAAAGAAGCTTGTTTCCAGCGCCCAACTCTTCTGAGTGTATTAGAAACTTCAAGTTTTCTGTTAATGAAAGGAACCTGTACCACACTGGGCAGAGTGCTGGCCTTCTCTCATTCACTCTTGCTTTACTCAGATTGGCCTTTTATAGAACACAAGGTAACTCCATTAAGTGCCAAACCATCCCTTTATTTTAGTAAGAGAAATAGCCTCAGGAATTCTTAAAGTGAGTATCTCTTTTATAAGATATATATTCCTTTAAGGGTACAGAATATTTTCTCATCCAACATAGACTAAAACCCAGTGGAAAATACACTTGATATTAGGCCCTTTTATGGCTGGCCTGGCTTTTGGGTATTTCTTTCCTTTAAATGTGGATTTTTCTCTTCTGATAACATGGAAAATCCTTCCAAAACGTGGAGGAAAGTACAAATGATCTTCAACTAATTTTACAATATTTACACCTATACCTTTCATCTGCTTTTAAGTCGATAAAAATAAAAATGCAATATGTAGCAAATATCAAGGGCCTCAAATATTGAACAGGAAATAAAGCTCAGATTACAATGTCCTTTTGATGTACTAACTCAGGAATGTAGGTCAATCCTTTTATAGTATTTTCACGAGTACTTATTTTATTAATGTATGCTTTGACAATGGAAAAATGGATTATGGCATTCTGTGGTTAGTGATTATTTTGCTGTTTATTTAAAACATATACAGCAATGTTTTTCAAATATTCACATAACACGATATAAGAAAAGCCAAATAAGCAATAGGTTCTACAAACAGACGCATCTGATACCTTGCTTCAATTATCACTGCTGCTTCTTCAGAGCAATAACAGCGTAACATCTGGGAGATTTCACAGGATCAAACAACTTTACAAGCGCAGACCATGCAATATCTTCCTGAAAATTGATACGTGATTTAGATATACAATCATTTGTTGAGGACAAAAATGAGAGATTGACTCAGACTATATAGTCTAATATAAAAACTACATAGAAAACAAATTACATAAAATAAAAGTATTTTTGGTGAATAAAATTAACATTTACAATTTCACCTTCAGGAATTCATGCTAAGGAAATAATTAAGATGTACACAGAGTGTGAACTACAAGGTTACTCTTTGCTGTAACTGTGGAAAACCGGAAGTGGCAAATAACAATTGAGTGTTACTTATATAAATTATTATATGATGAAACATTATTGAGCTTCTGTAGTATATTTAATAATGGGAAAATTCTAAATAAAATAAATGAAACTAGTTAGATGCAAAACTGCATTCATTATTTGACTCCAATTTTTTTTTTTTTGAGGAAGATTAGCCCTGAGCTAACATCTGCTGCCAATCCTCCTCTTTTTGCTGAGGAAGACTGGCCCAGAGCTAACATCCATGCCCATCTTCCTCTACTTTATATGTGGAACGCCAGCCACAGCATGGCTTGCCATGCAGTGCCATGTCCACACCCAGGATCCAAACCAGTGAACCCCGGGCCACCGAAGCAGAACCTGTGAACTTAACTGCTGCGCCACCTGGCTGGCCCTAATTTGACTCCAATTTTAATTAAAGTATAAATAATGTGCAAATATGTATACGTGCAACATACATATATTAGAAAGAAGCACTAGAAAACATACCAAAAATTTAATAGTTAACCCTGAAAGGTGGGATTATCATTACTTTTCATTTTCTTTGTTACATTCTTCATTTTAACTTTTCTAACACAAATATGTATTAACTTTTATAATAAAAAAATATTATGTAAAATATTAGCATCTATATGATTTCTATCACTTCAAGACAAAGCTATTAATTTTTGTGCATATTGTTTTGCCTCCCTATTTTATTTAGGTCAATGGAAATTGTTTGGAATAGGGAAATGATGTGTAGTAAAATAGGCCTGATTCTGTCATCTACCAACTTGGGAACCAAAGCTTTTCAGTGATTTTGAGTTAGTTGGTAGCTTAGAAAAGTACACCATTATCTAAATATTTAAAAATTGGCTTTCTCTATAAAAATACAAATTAGAACAAAAGCAAACATTTACTAAAATCCATTTGTTCCAAGTAGACTGTTGAAAAGAAGAAAGTAATGCTCCCCATATGATAAAACAAAATTGTTAAAATAAAGGGTTTATAGTGGAAACAGAAGGCTGAATCCACAAATGGGTTTAATTTAAACAGTTCACGAAACTTTACTTTGATCACAGCTCAGAACAGAATCCACAAAAACCATTCTACCTAAGGATAACCAAAAAGACCAGTTTTTTGGTCATTCAACATTGGTAAAACAAATAGGATTGTGAAAAAACACAAGAAATTTCACTTGATCAAAAAGAACTTTCTATACTGCAAAATGCATATGTCCAAAAGTCCAAAAGTGAATTAAAAGGTAAATTCTTACACAGTGAAATATATACGCTATCTTTTATGCCTGGCCTTTATTAATTTTAGCTATACAGTATGTTATATATGATGGTTTGTGTTCACTGCCTACTGTATAGTAATTACCATACAATTAAAAGAATGTAAACTTTATTACAGGAGCTTTGCTGAGAACATCTGTTATACATATGTTTATGTTTAAAAAGAGATGGAATGAAGATCTAAACTTAAAAAATATGACAAAAATTATCTTACTGGTTCTACGTGAGAGAAACTTCTCCTAGATATAGGTGGGTCCATATTACTGGATTTAATGAAGATACTTGTTATACATTTAAAAACAATATAATTTACCTGCTCTTTCAGGTAGCAAAGTCGATCCAGAAGAATCAGTGTCTCTATACAAGGAGCCAGAACAACTTTCAACTAAAAGAAAGAATAAGACAGGATAGTGGTACTGAAAAAAAAAAGACTAGCTTAACACTGAAGTTTAAGACAATGTAGCTACAGAAATTTACATAAGGCCAAATCTCCAGTACCCATTGTACATCTTCAGAAAACGAATACTGCAGAGATCAAGTTTTTCTTTAATAATAATAGGAAAAGAGTCACTCTGAGGTAGAATCTAAAGGCAATCATACATTTGTGATAGAAACTTTTAAAGGGGGTACTAAGAATGAAATTCATTAAAAGGAATGCTTGTGAAATAACTGCATTGAGACCAATATGTGTTCAAAGAACTCAGAAACTTCTTTCCGTGCATTTATAATATACTTTAAGAGAGGTCTACCATGTGTTCTCTTTATTAACATTACTGGCACCTAATATAGTTCTGAAATAGGAAATGATCCAAAATGGCTTTTCTATAGCAAGAGAAAAACAACATAGATTGGTTGGTCCCATAATAAGATTTACCAGGACCCTATTCAAGTCTAGTAACACATCCAATTTAATATGTTTAATTCTGAGATTTACCATATTAAAAGCTTCCAGCTCATTCATTCTAGGCTTATACTTCTCGTAGTAGTCCATTATAATTTTTTCTGGCAGCTTCAAGATAAAAAACAAGAATAATATATTTAAAAATAGTTAAAAAGATATTTTTTTCCTTATCAAACATACCCTAAAGTAAAATACACAACAATTTAAAACAACCTTAGGTGTCTGAAGAGTTCTAAAGATATTCACAAAGCAAGTCAATATAACTCTAAATTCTTTCATTTAAATCTTTTGCACTGATAACAGGTTATTCAACATATCAAAAATAAAATCACCAATAACATCCTATTAACATTGTTTAATTTCAACAAGTAGTGATGAAATATTTACTTTCACTGGTTTCTATGCTTGGGGTACATTGTAGGAGCTCAATAAATATTTTTGAATAAAAGTAAGATTTAAAACAATATATTGAAACTACATACCCTAGAGAATAATTCAAAGGCAGCAGGAATACAATAATAACATATATTCATATTAAGGTAATTTCCTCTAACATCCACCTAACAAATCCATCAATAAGCCTCATTTTCCATTTTTTCTCTAAAACATGAGATATCCACAGAACACTGAACCCTTGTGGTTAGCAGGCCACTTTCTAGATTACTTCCATGTTTCTGTTCCCACCAGTTGAGTTTTATGCTTACTAAATCAATTGTATTTGTTTCTAAACTTGTTATGCCAACTGGCATATTATTGCAATGATATAAGGTAAATAAATATTATATAATTAATGAAACATGAATGCAAAGGAAAAGTTGAATGCCTTTGTGAAAGGCTTGATAAAGGAAAGTCATCAGAAGAAACTGCTGTCAATTTAGAGGTGGTCAAAGCAACTGAAAAGACTAGATTAAAAAAGTCAAAAATCTTAAAGGATTTATACTCAAATTTCTTTGCAAATGTCTAAATGAATTTATTATTTTTTAAAGCCCCTATTCCCTTTCTTACTGCATTAAATTTCTCTTGAATTTGAAAGGACCAAAGGGTAACAGTGAAAGGTAAGGCTTCGTCTCACCCAGTCTCTAGCGGTAGCATTCTAGAAAACATCCCTGCTTTGGGACAGAGCTGTTGCAGATTACGCCCCCTTCCCAAACCCTTTTAAAAATTTTGTCCATCTTTGAATCTTATGAGTACCTCTTAGATCAAATTTTCGCAGTAGAGTATATTGGACTAGATTCAGGCAAAAATTCTCATCTCACGAAATTATGTGTGTATCTGAATTACAGCCTTTAATCTTTACTTCTCTCCCACCTTCTGGGATCAGCAGTTGCAGGACTAATTCAGAACTCAGTCTTTTTTTTTTGATCCTGCTTCACTAGCACACAGCTTCCTACAAACATGGCTTTTCAATGTGATTCCTTGAGTTCTCTCATATTCTGTCTCTCTTTTGTGCCAAACTGGGAAGCACCACCCTGGTCACCAGTTGCATTTGTTCCAAACTAGGAATTGTTGATTTTGCTCCTCAAGACACGCCACTTTAGAGAACTGTGTTCTGTTGGTTTTGCTGGTGATCTGTAACCCTGGGTATTTTCTCTTGGAATCTTTCTGCATCACTTTTTACCTTCACTGTACTTCATAATACACATGGTTTGACATTTAAAATGCTTTCTGATTTTGTCAAAGAAGTTAGTGTGTATTTCTGTTTCTCATTCTATTTGTTGCTTTTGTATGACTCTGAGAAAAGGTGAGAACATCATCTTAACTCTCATCTAAAAAAATGGAAGTCTGTTGCTTCACTTTAAGTGAACCAAAGCTGGAGATTGTAGACTATGCATTAGAGGTACGTTTGACGCAAAAAAGTTAAGGCAGAATTTCAAATAGTGAAACTATATGGAAACCTGTGTGCAAAAAAACCCAAACAAATAGCCTTGTTCTTATATCAAAAGTTTGGTGAATGAAAGTATATTAATATGTCTTTATGTGAAAAATGCAGTGTTTAAGGTATGATTTCATGTATTAATCAACTTTTTCAATCAAATGCTCAACTACCAGTCTGATCAGATCAGACCACAAAGATTACATGGAAATTTTAAAATGAAGACACTATCTCCTTTAATCCTAACACCAATCTGTAACATACATATATTCACAGTCTCATTTTACAGATGACCTTATTGAGTGTTAAAGCCAGTGAGGCCTAAGTAGGGCCAACATCCTAGAGACAAATGAAGGCATCAGAATTGAGGCACTGCCCAGTGTAGGTCATACCTAAATAAGGACATACATGGAAACCTACAGGGTGAAGTGCCCATTAAATGGCAGCTGGGAGTACTGGTCATGAAGTCCATTGCTCCCTGCTGCCCATCCTCTACATTCCAGAAAAAGGGATTAATAAGAGTTAAGCTGTGTAATAGGGCCCTAGCTCAGTGGGCTGTGGTTTGGGCTCAAGGAGCTATCCAGTCCTAAGGGGAAACGGGAGTGGAAGATGGTAAATGAGCAGTCATGTTTAGGTGCTTTAGATTACCCACCCCCCCTTGGAATTTTTTGACAGTTCTTTCAACTCCAATATAGCCCATGTGTTAGACAGTATATATCTTACTATTCAACACATTTCTAATTCTGGACCAACTTCATCCTGTCTGAAAAAGTTTCAGGCATCAAAGTTCTCGATATAAGCTCCTCCTTCTTGAATGCTTCAAGAAATTTCACCATTCCTTGAATTTCTTCTGCCTTTATTCCAAATCTCAATTCTTCAGTCTGCTTTAGAAGTACATTTATTTTGCCTGTTGGCAAGTACAAATTTTCTCTTTATTCTTCCTCATAGGCTTATTTATCTGATGGCTGTCAGTTTTGGAGAAATGCTAAACAAGCATTCTTCTTGTGCTCAATGTCTGTTAATAAGTTATATCAATATGACAAAAAGGAGCATGGGCTGTAGAGTTAGACAGTCTGGATTGGAATCCTTCTTCCCTAACTTCCCAGATTTTGGCATTAAGAAATCCACTTAACCTATGTCTTCATTTTCTCACCTATAAAATGAGGATAACAGCACTTGTTTCATGAGGGCATCCTTAGTATTCAGTGAGATAACCTATACAAAGCTTTCAGCACAATGTCTGGCACAAAGCTAAGGTTCAATAAACATTAGCTTTTCTCATAATTTTTTTTTTTTCAAGATTTTATTTTTTCCTTTTTCTCCCCAAAGCCCCCTGGTACATAGTTGTATATTCTTCATTGTGGGTTCTTCTAGTTGTGGCATGTGGGACGCCACCTCAGTGTGGTTTGATGAGCAGTGCCATGTCCGTGTCCAGGATTCGAACTAACGAAACACTGGGTCGCCCGCAGCGGAGCGCGCGAACTTAACCACTCGGCCACGGGGCCAGCCCCTCTCATATTGGTTTTTAAAAATGAACTTGTATTTTAGAACAGTCTTAGATTTACAGAAATTTTGAAGAGAGTTTCCATATAGCCCATATTCAGTTTCCCCTATTAACACCTTAAATATGGTTATTTACTATAATTAATGAGCCAATATTGATACATTATTAGCTGAAGTCCATATTTTATTAGATTTCCTTAGTTTTTACCTAATATCCTTTCTCAGTTCCAAGATCCCATCCCGAATAACACATTGCACTTAGTCCTAATGGAGCTTCCGAGGCTTGCCTTATTTGTGACGACTTTGACAGTTTTGAGGAGTACTGCTCAGGCATTTTGTAGAATGCTCCTTCACTGGGATTTGTCAGATGTTTCCTCATAATTAGACTGGGACTATGGGTTTTTGAGAGGAAGACCACAGAAGTAAAGTGCCATCTTCCTTATATCATATCAGGGGTAGATAGTATCAATATGATTTATCACTGTTGATGTTGACCTTGATTACCTGGCTGAGACAGTGAATGCCAGGTTTCTTCATTGTAAACTTCCTCTTTTTTGCCCCCTCTCTATACTGTACACTTTGGAAGAAAGTCATTATGTGTACCCAAACCTGAGAGGGAGCTATGTTCCATCCTTGAGGGTGGACTATTTAAATAAATTATTTGGAATTCTTTTCCATGGGAGATTTGTTTCTTCTCCTCCATTTATTTATGTATTAAAATTGTCTTTTTATAGATCACTATAAGGGGCCAGCAAAGGTGGACATACTTCAACTTCATGGGGAATGAGTTGGATTAGTGGATGAGATACATAGTTGATAGGAGATCCTCTCCACATCCTACGCTATCAGAAGACGGGTTAGCAATTGATTTATTTCTCACCACTAGATGATGGGACTGAGGCTGCTCATAAACCTTTGGCTAGGTCATAAGTGGCTCAAGACCTAGGGAAGGTGGATGCAGAGATGAGGCCTGTTAACTGATCCTGCCTAGGGAGCTGGGAAAGACAAAGCTAGTGACAAGGAGGCTGAAGTGGGCCTGACAGTCTTAGGTTCAAAGAGGAAATTATCCAAGCCATTACTCAAAAGATTAGTGTCACTAAGAATCTTCTGGAGCACACAGTGCAAAGGTGACTTGATAGATTTCTTACTTTTAAAATTGATGCAATTATGTATATAACTAATGTTTCTAAGCTTGAAATTTATGGTCAATAAGATAAAATTAAAGAAATAAAAATGTAATGCACAAAGTTCTTCCCATATTTTCTAATGTATACTTGTCAATTACTAGCTAATGGAAATAAAATTTGAACTAGCTACTATCTGAACAGCATAATCCACATATAAAATACTAAGTTCAGTTCATATTCATTCTAAAAATGATTATTGATATATAATTGATACATTTGATACATATTGATACATCATTTTTTACATCATGTTACTTATTTTTTCATTTGAATATATGTCAACTACAGATTTTTACACTTCAGTAATCGTAACTATCTAAAATAAACATTGAAATTAATGTTTTTTCTTATATTAACAGCAGTATCAATAAAATAATTAAGCAGGTCTTATTTTTCTTCCTTAAATAAATAAAAAATAAATAAAAGGTGTAATGTATTTTCCTATTCTTGCAATGATTATAACTTCTACTACTCCCTGGAGCTCCTGGTTGCCAGGGAGACATTTCTGTACCTAATGCTTCTCTGTGGTTAGCTGGGAGAATAAA